AGCTGTGGATAAGCCACAGCAAGTAGAGACCAGCCCAGGCTGCTCCACAAGACTCCTGCAGCTCCCTACATGCAGCAGTGGGCTGTGGCCAGCCCCTCTCCCCGGCCCCATGCAACCAGCAGCTCCCGGCAGCCCAGGGGCCTCGGCAGCGCTGTGGACCAGCTGACCCCCCCCTGCCCCCTGTCCTTCAGGCCCCAGAGCTGGGGCACTCGGCCCAGCGGCCAGGAACAAGCAAACCACCCTGGAGAACCAGCCTGCCTCAAGTCAGGCCCAGCCTGCGCCCAGCCTCTCCCATTTGGAAACCGGTTCCCTCCTGTTTGTTGGTCAGTTCGGAGCCGCCTTGGCACGTGAGGGTGTTCGGGTACTGAGGCCCCCGGGCTCTGGGTCCGATCGGCTTCCGGCCCTGGCTGCTAATGGCCTGGTGAAAGGAGCTGGCAGTCCCCGTGCCCACCTGACGTCCCCTGGGCACGGATACGCGGGGAGGCAGCTGTTGTGTATCAGCTCCCACAATCTACCCTCATATCTCGCACCACCAGGGCGAGGGGACCCCAGGCAGGACGTGGGCTGCACCCTTGCATGTCCCTGCTCACGTGGATCCTAGCTTTGTGCTCAGCCCTGCACTGCCGAGGGCATTGGAAGAAGTACTGGAAGAGCCTCGTGTGTCCCAGCAGCACACGCCAGCCCATTGGGTGTCTCTGGGGCTGCTCCTGCATAGGCAGTTGGGATGGGGCAGAGCCCGGCACCCTGGCTGCAGCAGCCCCCTCTGCAGTGACTCTGGGAGCCGTCCCGGGGAAGGTCGGGGGGCTGTTTGCTGGAAGAACCACCAGCAGCTTTATGCTGCACCTGAAACCCCAGGGGCATCCGTCGCCTCTCTGCCCTTGGACAGACTCTCGGGGTGGCAAGGGGGCACGTGGCAGGGCTCTGCTTCCGGGCCCCCATGTCCCTTGTCTCACCCCATCGCCTGCTGTCTTCACCAAGTTCTTGTGGCCAAACCAGATGACCCATCCGCCCCCCCTCCTCCCCCGCAACCTGTGGGCAGTGGGATGGTTCGGGAAGAGCCCACACCTGACTCAGCCTTCGTCCCTCATGCCCTGGCCAGCTCTGGCACATCTGCAAGGTCTCCCCTGCAAGCTGCCTGGCAGCTTCCATTCTGGCCTCACTGCGCCAGGTGGCCCGTAGGGCCCAGACCCAGGGCAGAGGCCGATTCCACCGGATTCCCCTTCTGGGGGCCCCCTTTGGAGGCCTGGCTGATGCTCACACTTGGCCTGAGAATGTTTCAGCGGCACACGGACCCCAATGGGCATCCCCAGCTGGAGGGAACGATCACCCCCTGGTGTGACCGGTTGGTGCCTGGGCCGGTGGGACTTTAACAGTCCTGGGCAGGGCTCCCATCGCTCTCATGCCCTTGGCCACACTACACGGAGCAAGGGCAGGGCCGGCACAGTGTGAATGGCAGGGGGTTTGGGGTGGCAGGGGACTGATTATGGCTAAGATGCTGGGTTTTCCCCCGCCTGTGTCCACGGGCTCCCTGCATGGGCG